AAAATTAACTAAACAAGATCAGTAGTCCTATATACAAAAGACAGTTGTGCTGAGAAGGAAATTAGGGACACAACACTCTTCACAATAGCCATAAATAACATAAATTTCCTTGGTGTAACTCAAACCAAGCAACTGAAAGATCTGTTTGAAATAAACTTCATGCCTCTGAAGAAAGAAACTGAAGAAGATATCAGAAGATGGAAAAATCTCCCATGCTTATAGCTAGGTAGGATTAATATAGTAAAGATGGCCATCTGACCATAAACCTATCTACAGATTGAATGCAACTCCCATCAGAATACCAACATAATTCTTTCCATAAATCAAAAGAAAAAGTCTCAATTTCATATGGAAAAACAAAAAACCCAGAGCAGCTAAAACAATTGTCTACAATAAAAGATCTGTTCAGGAAATTGTCGCCTGTGCCAATGAGTTCAAGTCTCTTCCCCACTTTTTCTTCTAACAGATTTAGTGCGTTTGGTTTTATGTTGAGGTCTTTGATCCACATGGACTTCCGTTTTGTGCAGGGTGATAAATAATGATCTATTTGTATTTTTCTACATGTAGACATCCAGTAGGACTAGCCCCATTTGTTGAAGATGATTTCTTTTTTTTTCTATTGTGTGGTTTTGGCTTCTTTCTAAAAAAAAAAAAAATCGAGTATCTATTGGTGTGTGGGTTTATTTCAGGGTCTTTTATTTGATTCTGTTGATCCACCATTCTGTTTCTATGCCAGTACCATGCAATTCTTTATTACTATTGCTCTGTAGTACAGATTGGGATAAGGGATGGAGATAACTCCAGAAGATCTGTTGTTGTACAGGATCGTTTTGGCAATTCTGGGGTTTTTTGTTTTTCCATATGAAGTTGAAAATTGTTCTTTCAAGGTCTTTAAAGAATTGTGTTGATATTTTGATGGGAATTGCATTAAATCTGTAGATTGCTTTTCGAAGGATGGCCATTTTCACTGTTAATCCTACCGATCCATGAGAAGGGGAAATCATTCCATCTTCTGATATCTTCTTCAGTTTCTTTCTTCAGAGACTTGAAGTTTTTTCAGACAGGTTTTAATTTGCTTGGCACAGGATCTAAGATCCACAATCAATAAATGGGACCTCATGAAACTGAAAAGCTTCTGTGAAGCAAAGGACACTGTTGTCAGAACAAAACGACAGCCTACAGACTGGGAAAGGATCTTCACCAACCCTATATTTGACACAGGGCTAATATCTAGTATATACAAGGAACTCAAGAAGTTAAAAAGCAACAAATCAAGTAATCCAATTAAAAAATGGGGTACAGAGCTAAACAGAGAATTCTCTATAGAGGAATATCGAATGGCAGAGACACACTTAAAATGTTCAAGATCCTTAGTCATCAGGGAAATGGAAATCAAAATGACCCTGAGATTTCACCTGATACCCATCAGAATGGCTAAGATAAAAAAAAAAAAATCAAGTGTCAATACATGCTGGACAGGATGTGGAGAAAGCGGAACCCTCCTCCACTGCTGGTGGGAATGTAAACTTGTACAATCACTTTGGAAATCAACCTGGTGTTTTCTCAGACAATTAGGAATAGTGTTACCTCCAGATCCAGCTGTACCACTTCTAGGCCTTTATCCAAAAGATGCTCAAGTACACAACAAGGACATTTGCACAACCATGTTCATAGCAGCTTTATTCCCAATAGCCAGAAGCTGGAAACAACCCAGATATCCCTCAGTTGAGGAATGGATACAGAAGTTGTGGTACATTTAGACAATGGAATACTACTCAGCAATTAAAAAGAAGAAAATCATGAGATTTGCAAGCAAATCGTGGGAAGTAGAAAAGATCATCCTGAGTGCGGTATCCCAGAAGCAGAAAGACACACATGGTATATACTTATAAGTGGATAATGGAGATATGAGATAGGATAAACATACTAAAATCTGTACACCTAAAGAAGCTAAGCAAGAAGGAGGACCCAGGGTAAGATGATCAATCCTCACTCAGAAAGGCAAATGGGACGGATATTGGAAGTAGGAGAAAACAGGCAACTGGACAGGATCCTACCACAGAGGGCCTCTGAAAGACTCTACCCAGCAGGGTATTAAAACAGATGCTGAGACTCATAGCCTAACTTTGGGCAGAGTGCAGGGAATCTTATGAAAGGGGGAGATAGAAAGACATAGAGGGGACAGGAACTTCACAAGGAGAGGAACAGCACCAAGAAATCTGGGCCCAGGGGTCTTTTCTGAGACTGATACTCCAACCAAGGACCATGCATGGAGATAACCTAGAACCCTTGCACAGAGGTAGCCCATGGCAGCTCATTATCCAACTGGGTACCCTAGTAAGGGAAACAGGAACTGTCTCTGACATGAACTCAGTGGTTGGCTCTTTGAGCACCTTTCCCTAAGGGGGAACAGGCCATAGAGGAAGACAATGCATCCAGTCCTGATGAAACTTGATAGACTAGTATCAGATGGAAGGGGAGGAAGATCTATCCTATCAGTGGACTTGGAGAGGGCATGGGAGGAGATAAGGAATGGAGCATGGTATTGGGAAAGAATGAGGGAGGGGGCTACAGGGGGATACGAAGTGAATAAACTATAATTAATATTTAAAAATTAAAAAAAAATCTTCTGGAGCTATCTTCAACCCTGATCTCAAGCAGTATTATGGAGCAACAGTATTAAAAAAAAACCCTACATGTTATTGGCATAGAAACAGACTGGTGGATCAATGGAATAAAATCAAAGATCCAGAAATAAAGCCACACACCTACGGACACCTGATTTTTGACAAATATTCCAAAACCATAGAATGGAAGAAAAATAGCATCTTCAACAAAGAGTGCTGGTCTAACTGGATGCCTACATGTAGAAAAATGGAAATAGATCCATACTTATCCACCCTTCATAAAACTAAAGTCCAAGTGGATCAAAGACTTCAACATAAACCAGACACACTAAATCTGTTAGAAGAAAAAGTGGGGAAAAGCCTCGAACTCATTGGCACAGGAGACAACTTCCTGAACAGAACACCATCAGCACAGGCTCTAAGAGCAACAGTCAATAAACGGGACCTCATGAAACTGAAGAGTTTCTACAAAGCAAAGGACACTGTTATCAGAACAAAATGGCAGCCTACAGAATGTGAAAAGATCTTCACCATCCCTACATCCAATGGAGGGCTAATATCCAGAATATATAAAGAACTCAAGAAATTAGATTCCAACAAATCACATAATGCAATTAAAAATGGGATACAGTGCTAAGCAGAGACTTCTCAGCCAAGGAATACTGAATTGTAGTGAAACACTTAAAGAAGTGCTCAACATCCTTAGTCACCAGGGAAATGGAAATCAAAACAACTCTGAAATTCCATCTTACACTGATCAGAATGGCTAAGATTAAAACTCCAGTGACAACACATGCTGGAGAGGATGTGTAGAAAGGGGAACCCTCCTCCATTGCTGGTAGGAGTGCAAACTTGTACAACCAATTTGAAAATCAATCTGGTGCTTTCTCAAAAACTGGGAATAATGTTACCTCAAGATCTAGCTATATCACTCCTGGGCATATACCCAAAACGTACTCCACCATTCAACTAGGATGTTTGCTCAACTCTGTTCATAGCAGCTTTATTTGTAACCGCCAGAATCTGGAAACAACCCAGATGTTCTTCAGTGGAGGAATGGATACAGAAATTGTGCCACATTTACACAATGGAATACTACTCAGCTATTAAAAACAAGGAAATCATGAAAATTTCAGGCAAATGGATAGAACTAGAAAAAGATCATCCTGAGTCAGGTAACCCAGAAATATAAAGACAGGCATGGTCTACACTCATGTATAAGCAGATATTAGCCATACAATATAGGATAGCCATACTAAAATCTACAGACATAAAGAAGTTAAACACTAAGGAGGACCTAGGGAGGATGCTTAAATATAATTCTGAATGGAAACCAGGATTGACACCAGAAGTGGTGGAAGAGAGGAAACAGGATGGGCGCCTACTCTAGAGGGTCCACTGAAAGGCTCCACCCAACAGGGGATCAAAGCAGATGCTGAGACTCACAGCCAAACTTTCCACAGAGCACAGAGAGTCTTATGGAAGAAGACAGGGGTGGCGGATAGAAGGACACGGCGGGGACAGGAGCCCCACAAGGAGACCAACAAAGCTAAAAATCTGAGCCTAGGTGGTCTTGTGGAGACTGATGCACCAATCAAGGACTATGCATGGAGAGGACCTAGACCCTCTGCTCAGATATAGCCGATTGGCAGCTCAGGCTCCATGAGAGTCTCCAAATATGGGGAGCAGGGGCTGCCTCTGCCATGAACTTGGTTGCCTGCTCATTGATCACTTGCCTCTGGTGATACAGCCTTGCCTTGCCACAGAGGAAGAGGATCCAGGCAGTCCTGGTGAGACTTGATAAGCTATAGGCAGATTGCAGAGGAGAACTCCCCCTTTCAGGAGGTCAGAGGAGAAGGATAGAGGGGAGGAGGGAGGAAAGGTGGGACTGGGATGAGTTCAGGTAGGGGGCTTCAATTGGGATATATAATGAATAAATTGTAAAAATAAAATAAAATTAAAATTAATAAAATAAAAATAAAACAAACAAAAACAATAAAACTATTTCAGACAAACAGATAACAAATAATTCAGAAAGAAAAAAAAGAAAAAACAAAAAAGAAAGAGAGCAAGCTTCTAACATCTATAGTTTCCTTGAGCATTGAAGACCTCAGAAGCACCCAAGCACTTCCTAAATCCCAGCCTTTTGGGGGAAAAAAAAAGCCACATTGGAGCAATTTAATTTCAAGGAGATTCTAAACGGCAAAGGAGTTAGTCCTTTGACCACCCACAGTCCTGAAGGCTCCAAATCCTCAATGTTTTGCCTCAGTGCAGAACATTTTCTCCTCACCCCAAGCCCTCCGTACTTACACCATGATCCCTGCTCACATGCACTGTAGATTTTTTGTTGTTGTTGTTGTTGTTCTGAAGTACCTGTAATGTGCCAGGGCAGCATTCAAGCCACTAGCAGAGATGGTTTCAAAACTGGGTCCTGAGGAAAAGTTTTCTTTCCTAGGCCAATCAATGTAAATAATGGTCAGAGAATGGTCCAGGGCCTGCGATACTCTCTTCAAATGAAGGTCCACTGCTTTCACACATGGCTCCATCTGCCTCTCACAGCCCCACCTCCCACAGCTTTGTTCTGTCACTTATAGAAAGCACTCAAGTACAGAGAAGGATGGATGGTGTCCATATTCTTGTTTTTTTTTTTTGTTTTTTTTTTGCCTCCATTTTACTTATAAGAGAGAATAAAAGTGTGCCATGTCTTGAGCCTTGAACTAGATGGTAGTACAAGCTGCTTCAGGAAGACTTCTGCCTATTGGAAGCTCCCAAGTGTTGCAGGTTTGGGGGACACCGGGGTGGGAGGTGGGGTGGGGGAGTGGGTGTATTTTGGTCTAAGCCATCCTTTCCCAGGAAGAGCGAACTGTGACTGAGGCAGTCGCTAGGGGGTGCTATTGGGTTGTCCGCGCTTTCAGTAGGACCACCCAGGAACCTGTCAATCTCACTTCCAAATACACAAATACAAGCAAGATCTTCCTAAGGGGACTAATTACTCCTCACTCCCCCACCCCCGCACCAAAGAATAATAAGTCCAGTACCGTCGTAACTCATCAATGTGTTCTGCCCCAGAAAACTCATCCACCGTGCCTTCGGGCACGTTCTTCTCCAACCAGACCAAGTACTGGATCACAGCCACAGCATCCCGTACCTAAAGCAGGAAGCAGAAGGAGGTGGGCCAGAGTGCCACTCACAGAAAATCAGATAGCTGCCCTGAGATTGAATGCTTTAAAAACATGACAGTTTTGCTGAGTACTGGATAGCAAAGGATTCTCATTAATGTTTATATGTAATCAGAGTGTGCTCGTGTTTTTACAAGTGCTAAAAAGATAGGATTTACTTTAAAATAAGCCAGCAGCAAGGGGTGAAAGGGGAGGGGCATGCTTGGAGGAGGGTGGTTCCAGATGAAACAGTGTAAGGCATGATTTGATGATGATTGAAGCTGGGTAATGGGGACATAGGGAATCTTAGGCTATTTTCTCTACTGTAGTGTATTTTAATTTTTTTCTTAAGAAATTTTCTTTCAAAATGAGGTCTTTTATCCCAATATTAAGAATATTCTAAAAAGTGAGCCATCCTCTTGCCAGATATGAAGGAAATCATTATAACTAACACTCATTTAACAAGGCAGTGTTCAAAGCAATGTACATCATCACATGTAATATCTACATATCTATATAGCTATAAACATAAATATAAATATTTGTTGTTCCTTGCTTTCACTGAGAGTCTTCTTTGGGCTTCTCTCTGGAAGGCTAACCCATCAGACAGACCTCCCAATAGGCCTTGCCATATGTACTTACATGGCTGGCCTTCAAGAGGGCCTGGTCCTTGCTGTTCTTCACAGCCTTGATTAGCATCACTGGGGAGTAGGTCTCTGTCACGAGTTTCTCCTGTTGGGAGCATGGACAAAATTATGGACTAGGAGCAATGTTAAAGGCAAACAGTGTTTACAAATGACAGATTGTGAGACTTGCTGATCTCTTTCTCCTTCATGGCCATGCCCTCTCCTTTGGCTCCTTTCTGGATAGGCAGTTCTTTCCTAGTCTTCTGTGTGTAGGTTTCTTTTTTTCTTTTTTTTTAAGACTTATGTATGTACGTATTTATTTATGTACTAGTATGTTTACAATGTTCTGCCTGCATGTACACCTGCAAACCAGAAGAGGGCACCAGATCTCATTATTGATGGTGGTGAGCCACCATGTTGTTGCCTGTAATTGAATTTAGGGCCTCTGTAAGAGCAGCCAGTGCTCTTAACCTATGAGCCATCTCTCCAGCCTCCCCCCCCCCCCCCCGCCGTATATTTCTTTGATGAACATTGTCCTGGTAGTAGCAGTCAGGCCTGATACCAGCAACATGCTGGAGTCCACAGGCCGTTCTAACACTGTATGTTTCTTGTATGGATCAGAGTCGTTACCAGCCCCAAGCATGTACTATATCAGACAATGGACTTCACAAGTACTATCTCCTTGAACTCACACAACTCCTGTAAGTGTTCAACTTTGTTACCATTTTAAAGAAACAGAGATCTAGAATGACTGAACTACTTGTTCAAGCTCACTGCGTGGCCATTTATGAAAAGAGCTCAGGTCAGTATCATGTTCAGATGACTAAATCTTCTTCTAGACCAGGCTGTATTCTTTCTAGTCGCCTTAAAAAGCTTTAGAGGCTTTGTGGACAGATGCACCTACCACAGCCACCACCACCTCCTCTACCTCCTTATCCTCCTCTGTATTCCATTAGTGAGGCCTACAAAGGTATACAGTGCTCATTTGCTGTCTGACTAGCTGGCCCAATGACTGAGTGGCTACATTTTAAGTTGACAGTTGTCATGCTGGAGCAGAGGAAGGCCAGTGACTGGCAAACCTACCTTGGGTATCACTTCATAGAGACCATAGGTGGTATAGCTGACCCCAATCAAGATTGTCACGTTGTTTGAGGCATAGGCCTCCACACTGTCACGAATTTGACTGTAGTCCTCAAGTTGCACACACATGGGTGATGTACAGTTTGTATTCAGGTACTGCAGGGTTTCAAGGCTAAAGCGACTCTTGTTGACAAACAACCTAAGTGGAGAAGGAAGACTGGGGGTGTCTCATGTGCCTACCTACTAAGGATAACACATGGAACCTGAGGCATATACCAGTCTTTTGATTCCAAAGTCTCATAAGAAGTCAGCATAGAAAGCCAGGGTATTACACAGGGGTTCACTGGGACCAGAAGTCAATGGATTAGGCACAGAGAGTGGGGGGTCTCCTAGAGAAGTCTGCTGTGGTAGGCACCCAAACTCATGAGCACCCTAAAGATTGTGATGTTAATGGTACAGGATAGAGTGGAGGTTAGAAGAAATTCACAACAGTGAGCCAAGGAGAAGCTTTACCTGATAGAAGAGTTCGTGAGCAGTGTGTAGGAGTAGAAGAAGGGGTTATAAGGGATATCGCTGCTGCGAAGGTTGAAGAGCCCTGGAAAAAGAATTGATGGGACTTTTTGAGGCCATCTTGCATAGGGGAAGGCATTTTTGACACCTATGCTTCACTATTAGTTTGGGCTTCAAGGTTATTACTGACAGCAGCTTCTGGTATCTGTCCCTGAGTGGTTCTCAATCTTCACAGAGATCATTGAGCTGCTGAAGAAAGCTATGGATTTCTCCCCCATAAAATGTAGATAGGTGACATTCAGCACACAGTATTGGTAGATCCTCCAAATGTCTGAAGTCCAGCCATGGGAAGTGGGCAGAAAGTCCTCAGCCATGTGAGGACAGAATACAGTTACTCTGGATGTTAAAGCTGGGACTTTGAGTGGCTTGGATGACAGCCAAGGCTGCTGGTGGCTTTGTCGCCCTTCTTTCCCCTAATAAGACATAATTTCTCTGTGCTCTGGCCAGCACATTTCTCAGGTGGTCTGTGGGCTTGCCCATTTGCTTGGAGCTCCCTGGCTTCCTTATTCTGTAGCCTTGAGCAGCTGCTCTCTTCCCCCTCTGGGTTCCCACAGGCCGTGGCTGTGGAGCTTATAGGAGCTGGTGAACATGTTGTTATTTTCAGAAGAGCTGTATGCTGCAAGGAGCAGGAGGCCTGGGACTACTAGACCCATGTCTGTTCACAAATCCCTACTCACAGGCTGTCTCATCAAGTGCTGATAGAAGGAGACCAGTTGGAGCCATGGTGTGTTTCTGCATATGGTTTCGGATGGTGGATACTTTTTCCTCCCAAGTGCTCCCTAAGAAGCAAAGGAACCAAAAATAAACAAACAAACAAAAACACGAGTGGCACACCTTGTCTTTGGACCAGGGCTCCTTGAAAACTCTCCACAGGTAGTAGTTTTCCTTCATTTTTAGTTAAGTAGATGAAACCAATGGCCTTGACCATTGGGCAAGTGCTCTACGTGTGAACTACTCCAGTCCTCTATGTTTCCAAATGCAGTAGAATTCTATCTCTATCTTCAAACAATATATGACTTGTATTATTAATGTCTTTGGCCATGGACCCAGATGGGGCTCCAACCATAGTCCTCCCATTAGTAACTGTGTGTGATATTGGTCAAATTACTTGACATCTCTATGTCCTATTTTGTACATCTGTTAGATGAGGGTGGATTGTAACAGTAGCATCTACCTCAATAGGTTTATTACAAAGATCAAATGGACTGACATTTGTAAAGCCATAGAAAAAGGCACTTGCTAAGTCTCACATTGCTTTTTCTGACCTGATAATAAACATGCAAAAAGAACAGAAGAGCTACTCTAGATGGGCAAGAGAGAGAGAGAGGACCAGGACTGTGTTTACTCTCCTCTGCAGTAACTCTAGCACTCAGTAAGCCATAGATATTGGACTAAGCACTTCTTGTGCTTTATTTTGATTCTTGCGTGAGCCATTTTACAGATAAGGAAAGTTAGGCTTCAGAAAGGTAAATTGAGTTTCTCAGAGTTTCATAACTGAAGGGGTGGAGCTGGGATTTGAACCCATATCTATATGATCGGACTGGCCCACAGTCCTAATCTGTACTAATACTGAGATTTCTTGTTAACATTTTCAAGCATGTAAGTGTTATTCAAACCTTGTCCAGTACTTTCCTACCTAGCATGCATGTACCTGGGTTCCAGGAGTTAAAATTTCATCTCTTATTCCTGCCTCCTGCAAGGCATATAAAGTCTTTCTCTAGACAGCACTAGGAAAATAAATGGCAGACTGTCATAAGCATTAAGACTACTACTTGGGCCCAGATACAGAAATGATAACGCTTTTTAAAACTTTATGCAAATTGGTAAAACTATTCAACTAGAACCAAAAGCTTTGGGTATGATATACTTTTTAAGTTTATTTTATTCTGATGAAACAGACATAAGATAAATTTTATTAAGTCTTCATAAAGTACACAACTCAGCTGGCTTTCAGTACATTCATAGTGTTGTGCAACCACTGCCAGTATCTAATTCTAAAGCATTTTCAACATTCCCAAAGGAAACCTTGGACCCATTAAGGAGTCACTCCCCATTTCCCCTCCTTCCAGCTCCAGGAAATCACTAATATATTTTCTCGATGGATTTGCCAATGCTGGGTGTTTCATATAAATGGAATCATATAAATTGTGGGTCCTTTCACTCAAATTTATGATTAAGATTCATGAATATTACTTTGTATGATGGCTCATGCCTCTAATCCTAAGATTTGGGAGGCTGAAACAAGAGGATTAGTGGGGGTTTGAAGCCAGTTTGGGCAATATAATAAGTTTATGTCAGCCTGAGCTTACAGAATAAGCTCTTATCTCAAAAACAAAACAAAAATCCCCAACAACTTATAACTCATAAAAGAAAGATGTGTGAATGTGATCCATTTTGAGAAAACAAAATCACACATAGTCTGACGTGTGAGTGGCTGGCTTCTCTCATATACCACCCTTTGCCTTTGCCCCTCCACTCCACCTTCAAAACCTCTACTTGTCTAGGCATCTTAAAGCTGAACTTCTGTTCTTTGGCTTCTGGGCTGAGCTTCAATTCCAGATGGATTTTCTTTGAAGACTAATGATACCTTAGCATCTCTTAGCTTATGAAAAGTAACAAAATCCATGTGAATCCTGTCCCAAACCTTGGTAATCACTTTTCCCATTTTTAACCTCATTTTTCCTCAGCACAGTGGTGACCTTTGATATCTGAGTAACATGAGTGGTATTCATGATCAAATCCTTGTAGATAGCCAGTTTCCTTAAAAACTAAGTCAAGGTACACAAAGAATGACTCTTCAAGTTTCATTGGAACAGATAAAGAAATTGTATACTACTTCTACTTGTTTCATCATAGCCAAAATTTTGAAATTTCCCTCCTGCTTTCTTGACCCCTTTCTAAATCAGAAATAATATGTGGATTTGTATGTGGAAAGGGGTGCTCAGATTGCTCAATGTGACAGTTTCTCAAAGAACTGCAACTCCATTGGCCCATTCAGAATTCCCAGGGAGGTAAGAGAGGTTAGTAACTAAGACCCTGATTCAGTTCTTGCTTACAAGAACCATAATGCAAACATATTTTATCAGACTAAGATGATGCCAGTGAGGTCTTGGTTACAGATGTTAGAATTTTTGGGGTCCAGTTAACCTTCTTCTGTGGTCTAGCCAAACCCTCTTCTGTGCCACAGACTGAACCAAACTTAGTCATTTACTTCTGCCCAAGTCAGCTCTGTCCTAAATCTAAATTCCTCATTAGAGTAGAACCAGAAGAAAAGGGCCTAATGACTCAGTTTTCAATACTAGATAAACAACTAAGCTTTCTCTCTTAAGAAAGTTTTTTTGGGGGGAGGGGACAGAGTGGGATAATGGCTAAAGCGATGTCTCAGCAGTTAAGAGCATGGGGTTTCTCTTCCAAAGAATGCAGGTTTGATTCCCAGCACCCACATGGCAACTCACAACTGTCTATTACTCCAGTCCGAGGAAAATAAGATTCTCTTTTCTGGACTCCTCAAGCACTGTATGCACCTGATGCGAAGACATCATGTAGGACAAACATCCATACATATAAAAAAGTACAATGGAAAACATTTTTTTAAAGAAAGGGTTTTGTTGTTGTTGTTGTTCCAACTTTCTCTCTTGTTCCCTCCCTTTCTGCTAACTCTTCAAATCTTAATACTGCTTATTTCTGCAATTTCTAAATATAGTCTGAGCAACTTTGGACTTCTCTGTGAGGAGGGAGAGAGGGAGAGAGAGAGAGATCTACATTTTAACCACCCTCAGGTGGTTTGTCAAACATTACTTTGTTGCCTTGGTTAATGACATTTTCAGGTCAAGAACAGCATCAACTGGTAAGGACCATTGTTTGTACAAAGTGAAAATGAAAATAGGTTAATGGAATCACCTGTAAATTCTTTTGGCAGGACATAAATGGGTGAGTTTGGCACTGGAGGCCTCTCTGATCCCCATACCAGGTCGACAAGATTGGTTGTAATAGATTTCAGGTGCCTGTTGGAGCCTTGGAATTTCAGAGAATACTCTTCCCAGGAATCTGCAGAGAAAGGAAGGAGTCGCTTGCCCTTTGTCCATTTACAAATTAGGGAAAACTAATCTAGGCAAAGTTAGTCCTTGTAGTCTTGCCTTTGTTGGTTCCTGTGGCTTCAGCTGCCCAAAGCCTGCCCGAGGCTCCGGCCCTCTGAAATGTACAACTCTCCTTCACAGCACATCTTCTATCTGTCTTTCTCTGCTTTCCAAACTTCATCATCCTATCCCACCCCAATGCTGTCCGCTGTCAACTAGCTAATCTTGTTCCTCTAGGCCACACTCTCTGCCTCAGTACTAGCAATTGAACTTAGGACTTTGTGGATGTCAGGCAAGCACTCTGCCACTGTATTATACCGCTGACTATGATCTGCTCTTTTTAAAGTTCAGTGATTGGGGAAGGTCCTTCTGAGGTAGAAATCATTTTTTCTTAGGATATAATATCACCATTCAGAGGAATGGTGATGTTCTTGGCATTGGATGGGCCAACAAAAAGGTTAGTTTGGAAGGAGTCTTTCAATGCATATTCATGAAGTCTATCTTTGATGGCATGGGTTATCCAGCTGTCAGAACTTGGGGAGCTCTATGCTCCAGGACCATGTTTTGCTCAAAGGTCCTCTTTACAGTTTTGATCCTTTTACACTACCTTTCAGAAAAAAGAAATGTTTTTTAAGAGATCCCAAGTACCATAATTGGTAGACTCCCAGGACCCAGAGGATGGTTCTGAGGTCAAGGACATCCCAGACCTATTTATCCGCTAGGTCTTAATTATTCCAAGTCATCTAGGTTGGTTTTTTTTACATTCATTGTTTTTTTTTTTCTTAAAGGTTGTATTAGTTTAAAAGAATTTTATTTGCATAACTTGTGAAGATCTCTTTGTTATAAACTATTTTTACAGCCATAGCTTCAAGATACCCTGTGATCACACTGCCCCTCTTCCTAAATAAATACATTTATGTGCTTCCCAAGAGGCTGAGCCACCCTCCTTGGCAGTTCACATAAATCCAGGGACTGAGAGAAGAACATACCAACAGAGAAGAGGAAGGGGTCGAAGCCCACATGCCCTCCATCAGGCACTTCAGCAAGGATCCAGCTGACAATCAAACTAACACCAACTGAAAGATGGGAGGGAACACAAAAGTCACTTCCCAGACCAGCGTCAGACCCCACAGCCAGACTTTTGTCTGTGATAATCCTGCCACATGTGTTCTTTCTATCTGCCTCAAAGAACAGAGATGCCCTCAGATTTCCTGAACATCCCATAGAGGCCAAGCTTGGCCTTATAGACACACACTCACCTGTATTTCCCCAAACCTAGTCTAGGATTTAGGGCTTTGGGGGGGGATCCATGTGGGCCTTCTACCTTCCTTATGGAGTTCCCAGTTGCAGTCCATCTGCCTCTCAGCCTGAGTCCAGTAACGACTATCAGTCCAGACAGCTGCTTTCCCCATGGTCACCACAGCAGTACCTATAGCAGAACAGAGAAGTCTAGAGATGCAGATAAAGATGAAAGTGAGGAATACGACTTTGTTGGATGTGCCATGACATATTGGTTCTGTCACAAGGGCCTCTAGAATGAGTTTCTCTACTCCATTGGAAGGAAGAGAGGTAGGAGATGTTAAAGTCATTCTTAGGGGAAACTACAAAGAGCGCTCATTGGGCAAACCATCTCTGCTTTGAACTGTAGGTACCTATTAAAGAAGGGCCTTTAGAACATTTAATAGGAAAAGAATGTGGTTGGCTCCTGCCAGTCCAAAGGAGGTAATGCTGCATGTGATTGTTGTCAGGAAAGATGAGGGCTGATAAAATATCCAACTAGGTACCTACCTGAGGGTTGATAGGATAGACAGATACATCAACTGTGGAAGAGAGAGTCACAATGGGGGAGGCAGATCTCCTGGAGACTCAGGAAGAATTGTGTGAGAATCAACAAAGGAAGCTGTCTTTCATTTAAGGGAACAAGATCAAGGTAAGGGCCATTTAGAAACAACACAAGACATCATTAATAGCCATGTTTATGTCTTACTTGGCCATGTAGAGTGATGTTGTCTATAAAAAGATCCTACAAAGTAAAACTTTATCCCTAAATGAGCTATTACGTAAAATGAAGAGCAAAAAGATCTGTTTTGTCAATAGAGGTGGAAGTAGCAATTGCTTAGAAACCAGGTACAAGGAGTGCTCTGCTGGGGCTGGCTGTGGCAGAAGCAGCAAAGCATGGAAGGAAGCTGTGCAGAAGAGTGGCCAGTGGGGTATGAGATATTTGACCTGGGAAACATGCTGGGTTTATTGGTGTGGGGAGAAGGAGAATGAATATCAGCCTGTGATCTTGTCTGCTGAGAAACTGGCCAACTCATGTCCTCTATAACCAGTTCAGGTCTACCTGCAGTTCTTACCTGCAGTTCCCGTGAAGCCTGAAATCCATGCACGCCTCTCATCATGTTTGCCAATATACTCACTCTAGGAAATCAATAATATCATCATTAATCTTCTTCATTGAATCAGAGGCCAAGTGGAAGACCCCAGGTACATCTTGGATTTTTCTTGTCTTGCCGCATCAGCTATTTCTTCCTAGAAGTCTCTGTAACTCCTTTAGCATGCTATCTTTTTACCTTTGAAAAACTGTGTTTCTTGGTGTATAAAGCCAGTCTGGCACTGGACTTGGTTACACCAGATTGTTCTGCAAAATTTACTACCATGGTCATAATGCAAATTCAGTATGGTCTTAGGCCATGCCTTTTGGTATTCCCCTTAAATATTATGTCTTCTTTACCAATCTATCACACTGTATTGGATACTTCATAAATAACTTCTGCACAAGGCTTTATACACTACTGCCCAGTTAGACATTCATATCCATGTATCTGTAACTTCTATTAACCTTGGCCTTGGTCAAAAATATTAGAAAATGGTATTGTATTTAGTATATACAGATATTTTATTGTCATTATTCCCTAAGCAGAAGAGTGTGGTAACATTTACAAAGCACTTATATTATGCTAGGTATTATAAACTTTCTAGAGATGATTTAAAGCACATAGAAAAATATGTATTGATTATGTGTAAACATTATGTCATTTTATATAAGGCAGTTGAAACATCATTCTTTTGAATTGTAAATACCAAAAGATGACTTTGTTGGTTCTCATAACTCTTGAATACTTATAATTGTTATCTTTGCTGAAAGGAGCTTGATACTTAGTCAAAGTTCTTAAGCATCTCCAGCAGGTTAGTGATTAATTGAATCAGATACACTAATTTTGAAAATGCCTTTTCTTCTAGCTGGGTTGCTGTGAGTTGCTGGATGAGGTAAAGTTTTTGGAAAAAGATAGGCTGGGTAGGCCAGACTACTATTTGGGGGAAAGCAGTTCTTACATAAGATGGTCACCTTGTTTTCTATCTGTTCTCTCCCCTAAGTCTGCTTCCCATGCTTTTATAGTCTAGCACTTTGGATCATCTCACTGCTCTAACCAATCAGGGTCTGAGATGAACTGGATAAGGAAGGAGCTTAGAATTTTTCCAGGGTCATTTCCAGTGATACCCTAAACATTCTTTCTGGAGTTGTCATCAAGGGATTGGTCAAAATGTCTTCTGAAGTTGTTTTAATATTTTACATTTTTTTTTTGTGTGTGTGTGTGTGTGTAGGTTAGAGAAAAACATGTTGTAGTTGGCTCTCTCCTTCTTCTTCATGGTTTTCTAAGGATTGAACTCAGGTTATCAGGCTTGGTGGCAAATGCCATTACCCACTGGGCCATCTCCCTAGTAGTAAAGTTGTTATAATGTTTTTTCTAGAGGTCAAGAAAACTTGGCCATGTTTTTCCTCTAATGTAAAGAGGTATGTTCATTCAGTTGACCTTAGGATAGTGTATGTGAGCTTTCCATTTTCATCCTTTTCACTATGAAATGCTTTCTCTGTCTTCAGTTTCCAAGTGTTACCAGGCTCTTATTTGTGGCTTGTGTTTAGAGACCAACAACCGTAAATAAGGGAGAGGATGAGAGAAAACAGAGCTGGTCCTTACCATGTGTGCATCTGTGTCTGGGATGATGTAGGCAGAGAGATTCCAGGCCTTCATTTGCTGGCGGAGGGCTGCTAGCCGTATTGTTGTATTGACTGCAGTAACTGGCAGGTGCTGACAAATAACAGGAAGACACCCAAACATAAGCATTGCTGAAAGAAAACGATATAAGGGACTTTGCTTCCACAGAAGCCCCCAGATTTCCCTGAGGGTGAATTTAGGCTGTATTTAAGAGTAATGTGGTAGCTGCTAATAGTATTTGTTAGTCTAAATTTAAAAGCCTAAGATAACTAGAGTTGGAGGTATTACAGAATTTGAAGAAAGACTTTGGACCTGAATGTCCAGTGGATGTGTAGATGAAAACTACAGGGGTTTCATCCCTGTTCTCAGGCCAGGCTATGGGCAGACCCTCTGGGGGATATCTTGAGAATATAGTTGCCTGATTTAATAAACAAATATGGGCCACCTGTCTAGTTAGATTTTACTTTCCATTAAGCATGGGGTCATACTTTAATATAAATATGTCCCATGTACTATTTGGGGGGCATACTTTAATACCAAAATATTATCACCTGAAATTTAAATGTAATCAAGTATACTGTTTTTCATGTCCAGCCATGCTACTTTTCCAGAAGTCACCCACTAACCCCAAATGGTGCTGGAGAGTGTACCCCTGCATTTACAACATCTCCCAGAAAGATCCTCTTCAAGCCAAATATCTCTTTAGAGGATCTTTTATCTTTCAACTGAAAAACGTGTTTTGTTTTTTTTTTTTCCCTGTTTGTTAGTTTGGTTGCATTGCATTCTCTTCGGTAAGAAATCCAGATTTGTTTGAATATGGAGATGTTGTGGGCTTGCTCATCCATTTGCTGGCCTTAGTGGTCCTATAAAGTTGGCATTGCATATAGATATTCTGTTTATCCTGTGGCTCAGACTATGACTTGAGCTTGTCTACCTCTTCACATGTTGGGACCCACCCCTACTCAGAGATATTTACTCTTTGTAGTTGTGGGAACAATCATTCTAGATTCTAGCTGTGAAGCTAGCCACCTTCTTTCCTTTGTCTCCCATTTGCCAACCTCTGACCTCCTTTTACCTTTCACCTAGACCTTCCAGCTCACTCACTGGCTGACTCCCTTTATCCCTTTGCACTTTCCTCTTTGCAGTTTTCCTCTAGAACAGTGCTTCTCAATCTGTTGGGTGTGATCATCAGAAAAAAATGTATTTCCAATGGTCACAGGAACCCCCTAATTTGTTTTGTTGCTATTTCATAACTGTGATTTTGCTACTGAGCAGTGTCTCAGTTCCTAAGACCATCAGAAACACGTGTTTTCCAATGTTTGCAGCCAACAGGTTGAGAAGTACCGCCCTAGAGTTTAGAATTTCTGTTTTCATTTCTTCCATTTCATTCTTTACCCCTGCCTAGCCTCAATTAGCCTCAATTAGCCTCAATTAGCAGTCTCTTTCATCACACACCTTCTCTGTCTTTCTACCCCTGGAAGCTTCCCAGCCCCAGCAAGTTGTGGAAATGAGTGGGGCTGAGGAATGGAGCACCCATAGTGGGTATGTTAGTTACCTGAGCTGCTACTGTTGCACTTTAAAAAGAAACAAGGGCGACAGAGGGGAGAAATCAGAAGAAAGCCAGTAGGAGAAAAGGCTAGTAGCTGGGCTAGTAGGGAATGGAGAGACTGATGGGTAAGAGAGTCATGTGGGGTGGGGTCAAAGCCTCACCGGGGGGTTGGTTGAACAGTTTCTCACATCTTCTCTTCCAAGGTACATAGGCTTTGGGTAACTCCAGGCACATGCTAGGAAATGGGAGACAAACTTAGGGTTATTTGGGGACCAAAGAGCCCTCACGGAGTGAATGGACATCTTCCCTCAGCCTGTAGGACCTGTATCCTTTAAACATACCATGCTGGCCAACTCTATTTAAGACTGAAATCGATCACATTTCATGGGAAATCAGGATGAACTGGATGACACCTTGGGTCACAGTCATTGACAAGTGATTTCTACTTCTGGTTGGGTTTTAGTGTTCATCACATTATTTTTCCCCTTATAATCTAATCCTGTCTTTTTAGGGACTAGTGGAAAAAAAACGGTATAAATTAAAATTTCAAATCAAAGGTGTGTGTGTGTGTGTGTGTGTGAGAGAGAGAGAGAGAGAGAGAGAGAGAGAGAGATGTATTTAAATTCAAAGGTCCCTCCTACCTTTTCTTACAGTCCAAGTCTCTGCTTACTATTCTAGGCTTTAATTAAACATAAAACAGCAATTGTAGTTCAACATCATTACCTGGTGGGGAAAGGTTTCAGATATGGAAGTCAGTAATTTACAGCTGATCATAGTACTGTACACCTATATTATCAGTGGTGGGAAGAGGCAGTAATGTAAGATTTTCTTTGGCTGTGTTGCAAGTTTGGAGCCAGCCCGATCTACATATTACCTCATCTCAAAAAGATAATACAGAACAAAATAAAAATGAGCTCAGTAATATAACTGCTGTATAGTCATGTGCCGCATGACACTATTGAGGTCAACTAAGAGCTGATATATAACAATGACCCCATATTATTATATAGTCTAATAATATTATAGCCACATTAGGTTTTTGTAAGTACATTCTATGTTGTTGTGCAACGAAAAACTTGCCTAATTACCATTATTTCCCAGAATGCAGCCCACTGTCAATTGGCTACAACTGTATCTCCTCTGATATTTGTGACAACCCTGTGAGAAATGTATGATTATTCACTTCCTATAATGGAAGAAGCCAAGGTCCATGTAGGTTTGATAATTTGCCCAGGTTTTGCCACAAGGAGTCAGTGGTTCGATGGAGATCGAGGCCTGAACCCAGGCCATCTAAGGAGGGTGGCGTCGGTGGCATGGCTCAGTGGTAAAGCATTTGTATGCTTTTAAAAGATGTAAAAATCCCCACCAAAGGAACAAGGATTTTCTTTCCATCTTTTCACTAGGCTAAGCATAGGAAGTAGTCCAGAAAATAGGAAGGGGTTACAAAAGTTACACAGTATACAGAGGTCTAGTTTCCAGTTTGGGCTTTGTACTTAATTTTGTATGATCCTAAGAAAGCAACCCAATATTCACTGAACAGTTTTTTAAGTTCCTACTGTGTGCCAGGCACTAGGCTATGTCCCCTTAACTCTGGGCCTGTGTAAAAAGATACTCAGATTAGAAATCCTTCCTGACCTGAAAGTCCAGTAATCTCTTACAGTTAGTCCCTCTCTCCACCTCTTTAAACTTAGGGTGCATATTTCCCTAGGGGTTGTGGAGGACTGAGTACAGGGAGTTGCCATACTTCTACCTTATAAGTGGCTTGAGAAACAGAAGAAAAATAGCTGGGCTGTAAGATCAGGAATGCCTCCCTTAAATGATTTGGCCTCATAAATTCAAAGGAGCGATGATATCCATACTGTTAATGCAAGAAAATAAACCTCCAGTTCTATAGGAGCAGCTGTCTAGCAAAATGGCAGTACTAAGATGCCAACATAGGAAGTGTGACCTAGCTAATCCATGTCCCTTTGTACACCAGCATCTATCACTCTCTGAGTGTTCTCTGGCACAGAGGTGGTTCCAAGGAGGTAACTGGATGCTGAATTAATGAGCAGGTCCTGCTGTCAGAGAACAAGGACCAGGGATAGGGGGTGGGAGGCTGAACTGGGTACCTCGTAGAAAGCAAACAGGGCACCATAGAGGTGATATAACATTTTTTCCCTTTATCTCTTTTCTTGACAAGACATCAACATTGACCTTTTATACCTGCCCTGTCTGCCAGGTCTTTATTGTCCTAGCAAAAATTTTCCTAAGTTTTTTTTAATTTATTATTATTATTATTATTAATTACACTTTATTCATTTTGTATCCCCCCATAAGCCCCTCTCGATCCCACCTTTCCTCCCCTTTCTGCATGCATGCCCCTCCCCAAGTCCACTAATAGGGGAGGTCTTCCTCTCCTTCTTTCTGATCTTAGTCTATCAGCTCTCATCAAAAGTGGCTACATTGTCATCTTCTGTGGCCTGGTAAGGCTGCTCCCCCCTCAGGGGAGGTGATCAAAGAACAGGCCAATCAGATTGTGTCAGAGGCAGTCCCTCTTCCCATTACTATGGAACCCACTTGGACACTGAACTGCCATGAACTACATCTGTGCAGGGGTTCTAGGTTATCTCTATGAATAGTCCTTGGTTGGAGTATGAGTCTCTGCGAAGTTCCTAAGTTTTTTAGAGAAAACCTCCAGCCTTCAGTATCTGATCACCTCCAAGAGTAGATCAGATTTCTTATCCCCCTCCCCTGATACCTTATTACCCTGGCTTGCCTTCAGCAAGAATCCTGTTAAATTAGTTTAGCCATAATTCTCCACCTTTGAACCCTCAAGGAGTCCTCTTAGTAAATTTCTGGGGAGCAAGTCCTCCAGTCCTCACTGACTGTACATCTCTAGCAGGCTGTGTTGTGCATGTGCCCCACCTGGCTCCCTTCTGCAAAGCCCTTCCTGCAGTCATCTTAAAGAGAGCCTGCAAACTGACAAGTGATGCAACAGTTTTGTCATGGGATGGAAAGGGGCCAAACTAGATTTGATCCAAGTCACGAAGGCCCCTGCAGGGGCCCTTTCTAAAAGACAGGGTGACAAAGACAAAAGAGAGAACCTGGGTCCTAGCCCTTACTCTAAACTTTTCTGAGCCTGGAGAGAAAGATCAAAGCTGTCTGCCAGGAGAGGCTGGGGTGCACATACCGCAGAGGAGAACAAGCCAGGGGCAGCGGTGCCAGTAGGTTTGGGCCATTGGGTCTCCAGATGCTGGCAGTCAATGCACTGGGGAGAAGACTGAGTTGTTTGGTGGCCTCTTCCTCCAGGCCTTTCCTGGGCAGGAACAGATAAGTTTGACGGTTGTGTCTTGCTGCTAGATGACGAGCCTTCTCTAATCTTTTATTTCAGAGTCTGAGAAGCCACAGTGAGTGGACAAAGGAGTTTCAGGCTGCCAAAGCAACCTGCCTGTGCTGGTTTCTTGTGGTTTGGAATAGGGTGTGAGCCTGCCCCAGGGCAGAGTCCAAAGATCTCTGGGATTGAGCAACAACAGCTGGTATCAATCAGCCAGCCTCTTCCAGCCCCCTCTTCAGCAGCCCTATCCCAGCAGTTCCTGAATTCTGTTCTCCACCCTCCACCAAGCTGTTTCTCATTATCTCCTTCACGTCAGGCGCTGGGTACAGCCCTGCTTTTGCTTTGCAATGGATATTTGCTCTTACTTCTGCTCCTCCTCTAAGCCCTCCTGTGTCAAAAAATAAGAAAGAAAGAAAGAAAGAAAGAAAGAAAGAAAGAAAGAAAGAAAGAAAGAAAGGCCAGTGAATGATTGTTCTCTTCCCCCTCCTAGGTGCTGCCACCCCAGGGAGGTTGATCGCAACTGGGGGAGGGGTTACTTTCTTACAACTGGCATGAATTTTCCCAATAGTCCATCCTAAAATATGCAGGCCGACCTTCCCTTAGGATCTCACAGTTCCGTTCAGCTGCATGTTCTGTGGTTTGCAAAGTCTAAGCTGCTTAGGGACCTTGATATCTAGAATACCTTTGAAGGCCAAAGGATCTGGAGGGGCCAAGTGATGTCTAAAGTGAGAAAAAGACCCAGAAGGAAAAGTCTGAGAGCTCTGAGAAGACAGCAAACTGGAAATGCCTTTGACACAGCTTCTAGAAAAGAGATTTGGTCACCCTGCAGCGGGGCTCATTCCTACACAACAGAACTCACTGGGAGGGAAAAAGAAAGCCAGAAGCAGAAATCTTCTGCATGTGTGCTGGCAGACAAGCACATACTCACTTCCTTGTCCTCTGCCCTATCAGGGAGCTTCACGCCACACCAATGCTAACACAGCTCCAAGGGAAAGCTCTCTAGGCACTTTGGGGTCCTGAGAGCCTAGAAAAAATTATTTCAAGTGACAATTGATTATTAGAGTTGATATGGGGTTTTGTATCAAAAGGCCAGTCCAGTGTAGCCTTGAATTTATGATCCTCCTGCCTCAACCTCTTGAATACTAGTATTAAAGGCATTGACCATCATGTCCAGCTTTGACTTTATTTTTAATGCATCGGCCTCTTGTTTGTAACCACAATAAATTTGAGATGGCTTTCAACAATCCGTTTAAGAATGAGGAAGTGTTCCTAGCATGGATGAGGTGGGGAGCGCATGAAGTCCCACCCTTATCTGAGGAGTCATTGGTAACTGCTTGCTGTTAAGAGAGGAAGAGTCTGTGTTTTTTTTTTTCTTTTTCTTTCAGACATGTAGCCCCTGAGAGGCTATCCACGCTCCAGTAGATGGTCCCACACCCACTATCTGGACTCAGGATGTAAACAATTTGCGGTCAGTTGGGAGGGGAGATACTGGGAGTGGATTTGATCAAAACACATTATATGCATGTATGAAATCATCAATAAAAAAAAATAATGATGAAGTAGACCCTTGTGTTGAGGGAAGGGGGTTCTTCCTGGGACTCCCTGACAAGGCATAGTTAAAATAAGTGAGAACACTCTGTGACCTCTATCTTCAGGAAAACAAGCGAAGGGCAGAGATCTCCAGCCTCAAGAACTGGGAAAACTCTGTCATTCTGATTGCCAAAGCTCTTGTCTCCTCCTCTACCACTGCCCTGTCCCCTCTTTTTGGCCCTTTCCTTGACTGGTGAAGAAGTAATTCCCAGAAACCAGAGGATGGAAGAAATGCCTTTTTAAAGGCACATACCTCCTGTTTGTGTTGTAGTAGCCACAACATAGGGCAAACACGGCTTCATGCAAGGAGATAGACATCAAGGACACTGTCACTGGTCATCTTTGTGGCCTCCAGAAGTGGCTTTATATCTCTGAGCCCTCGGTTTCTTTACCTGTGACATGCTGTTACCAAAATTTGAGAGTCTTCTGGTGCAATGAGAAGCAGAGCATGAGAGTGGGGCTGTTAGTTCTTATGAAGCTGCTGCCTGGCAGAGCAAAGTCTAAATGCTTTTTGCTTGTTCATGGACATGCATGACGAGCAGCAAAATGGATCTCTTAACCTCTGAGCTATCTCTCCAGCCCTAGCAAAACAGATCTCAATTATGCTTTCCCTCTCTGTCCTTGGCACCAGCATTGCTGAAATGTCAGTTATTGTTACAACAGCAAAACTCAGTGAGACCTAGGTTTCAAAAGCAATCCAGCAATCCAGGCAGGCATCTCTCCTTCATCTTCTGAACTCTGTCCTGGGATGTCTCCACTCAGTACTTAGCCCTCCACTTCCAACCCTTGGGACGTTGCCTTGGCTTTGGTGGTGACAACGACCTCACCTGCCTGTACCCTCTCCTCCTTCCTTATCTCCTTATCAAGAAACTACTGTCTTTGCTCTCTTCATTTAGGGACTTGACCTCAAATGTTGGCAACAGTCCTAAAGTGGAAAGCAATGATTCAAGATAGGCAGGGTGAATGGCCAAGGGTCCTTTGAAAGTTGTTTGGAAACCCGTGAGTCACAATCCTCTTGTGGCCTACACAGACAGATCGCTTCTGCTGTTGCATCTTTGGACCTAAGAGCTCGATAAAGGCCACGTCTTGAAATTGGAGAAGTTGCTTTTCAAAGTCTCTGTTTAACATGCCTCCTTTGCTTTCTTCCTTACCATCTCAACTTCTGATCTGGATCCATCCTTTCTGTCTCAGAACAAACAAATGATAAAAAAGTACTCAAACAAACAAACAAACAAATAAACAAAGCAGTTTATTTGGTGTTAAAAAATTTTTGCCTTAACCTTTTACCTTCTTAGTTTTTCCTTTCCATATCACCTATCCCTGATGGCAGAAGCTTGCTGTTACAGAATTTTGGCTTCAAGGCATTCAGGATAGAGTCTAGCAGAATAGAATTAATATGAGTTTGTTGACACTAAACCACCACAATGCAGGGACCAGCCTCCCTATTCCTCTCCCCAAATGAATGTCCTGAATGAGGCAGGTTTTTCTAGCTCCAGAAGGTTTTGGGGATGCTATTGTATGTTCCTTTCATCATACTTGTCCCACATGAACAAAAAGTTACCTTGCATTGAACTTGCTGGTTCAAGTCTTTAAAATTAAAGACCTAAATTTAGGGGGTCTGGGAGCTGAGGCACAGGAATTGTGAAGTTCAGGCCATATGTGAGACTGTGTAAAAATTGTAAAAAGAAAAAAGAAAAAGGTGTGTGTGTGTGTGTGTGTGTGTGTGTGTTGTTTTTGGGATTCAAACCTGGGGCAAGCAGCTGAGGTGCCTATCTAACCAGAGTAGATCTGGCCTCCAGGTTCTCCCAGCATCCTTCAATCCCTACCTGTTACAGAGCATGGCTGACATATCCAGCCCTCTAGCCTGAACTTTCCAGTACCCCCACACACACACCACACGCCCAACCAGAGTCTCTTCACTATATAATCCAGATATTTTGCTTCTCTCTCATCGGTGAACCACCAAAGAGCTGCCCCCAATAAACCTGCCTTTATATTTTACTTTAGCTAGAACTGTCTCATTTCACTGGTGGAGAATACCTATCATCTGGTGTCAAGACTCATAGGAGTTGAGCCCTCAGCCACATGAGGCCACTCGATTTCCCTGTCTTTCTCTTTGCCTCACATGAACAGTTTTAGACTCAGTGAATAGCCATCTCCCAGGACCCTTGGAGCACTGGGTGCTTCCTCTGGGTCTCAAGACTCCTTGGATTCCCTGCCAAGCCAGTAGTTGTGACAAGCCTGTCCCTTCCAGAACAAAGAAGGAATTTGTTCTTGGGTAGCCTTAGGATTCAGAGATGACTGACCTGGAGCTACTTCTCCCCCCCCCCCATGTATGAACCCCAGGCTTACTGGCAGAATGCTACCTGCCGAGTCTTTGTAGTTACAGGTGAAGGCTGGGAAAATGGTCACCTCCGGGTCGAATCCTCAATTGCTAGACACCATAGGGTGTGTGTTTCGACATTTATCCAAATTGGATTTGTCTCAGACCTTGCACGGACAATTGCTGTCTGAACTCCCTGAGTCCAGGTTCTTTGGGAACCACGCGCTCTTGCCAATTTTCTTCCTTTGCCACAACATATCTGTTCCCACTGCACTGGCTGCTCAGACCAAATTTCTGATTAAACTTATAACAAAAGATTACCTTAGACCTCATTATTTAGGGTTACTAATTGAAAGTCTGTGCTTGGATAATCTTAAACCTTGTGGCATGATTCTGTTATAGGATATAAAAAACAAGTAGCTGATTGTTAACTATGGGAAAACAAAGGTAGAGTCATAGCTTCACTGCTGTCTTGATTAAGGACAGGCACAGAGCTGGCAGCCACCTCTATTATGGGAAAGAGATACAGCTTCACCACCATCTTAACTAAGGGCTGCCTGATAGGACTGTGTAGCAGAATTATACAGTAGGTTCATAAATCATGCCACCTGACTGGTTCCATGTGGGAGGTTTTTATTAAAGGAAGGTGGAGGGGGTAACAGAGACCATCTTGGGTCAGGGTAGGAGAGAGAGAGGAGAGGGAGAGAAAGACATGGTGGGGGGAGAGGCACCCCAACAGAGAGAGGGGGAGAGCAAGAAGGCAAGAGAGCAAAAAAATGGCAGGGTGATTCTTTTATGGAGCAACTGAACCATGCCTGCCAGGTGTGGCTACCTGTCAGGCAACACATGATGATGACATCATAGATTGCTAGGCAACCCAGAAGCAGGCTGCCTAGATACTAACACTGCCAATATGTCAATTGATATCAAACTATATATTTTTTATAATGTTTATCTAACTTCTCTGTCTTTTAAGCTTTAGCTGTTTGGATAAAGTAAGCCATACAGAAAACTACAATGGCCTATAATGATGCAATATAGTAGGATCAGCAATGTTTGTCTAGTGAAATATACCTTAGATATATAGATGGCCCTCAGGTACTTCAGAGATCTGTTGAATATGGCATTTAAATGTTTAATTAAAAATGCTTACTATGGCAGAAACTCCAGCTCCTAGCAGTGACCTAAAGGTCTCCAAAGAAGATAGATGGTGCACTGATGCCTCTGCATGT